TTCGAAGGTTCAGATATTTCGTATGACCCTAGTATCAAGAATCTCTGTTGGTAAATATGATTGACAGCATATCTAATAAAGTCGCGGCAGCCAGAAGACCCACTTTTTTATCAAATAGTAAAAATGAATACAACAAATTTGCTCTACAACATAAATGAAAAAGTTTTAAAGTGGAAGCTTATCGCTAACAACGTTTTCCGACAAAAGTGTGAGTCTTTAGATGGAGTTCGTTTTTCAAAGGCGTTGTTTTATCCTACGAATAAGATGTGCGTGCAAAGTTTGGCAACTTTCAATGCCTGATGTCGGCACCTTGCCAATGTTAGGCAATAAGGTGCAATAAACTTACCCTGCAACTACTACGGCACCATAAGATGAAACATTGAGGCAAGCGCTTTGAAACCTCCGTCAAAGATGGGAATGCACCTTTTCAAACAAACAAGAAAAATGATACGAATGATGCACAGAGACGGAATGATGAATTCACGATGATCGTGATCAACATAATGAAGAATTGGGTAAAGTAATGTGTTCATGCACACTTTTCCCCATGTTGCTAGGACATCGTTATGGGAGATTATGAGTTGTTTAGAAAGGCTCATATGTCGGCCAGATATTATCCCTTCGCAGTTTATTACCTCTGCGAATTGACGATAGACTGTTAGTGAGCTGTATCATCCAACTGTTCTGCCCTTCGCTTACTTAGCCACACTTTCAGTCAAAAGCATAAGGACCTAAAATGTGGCCGCCGTCGTGAGCGAAGCCGAAGCCGAAAATGTTCAGAACTTAACCCAGCCAAATCAAATAAGCTGTATTGTCGGACACGCCTTGAAACGCTGATTTCAAATATAAGTTCATTACCTGCCGAACAATTATTTGGAAGGACTCATATGCGTTCAAACATTAGATATTGTTCAAGTAGCAACGAATATAGTTCGTTGAAAGAAGCTTGATGGCGCAGATTTACAGTGGCTACGGGTAATCTAATTACAAGAAAAAGTCATTTACAAAAAACCAAGATAAGTGCTCTTGAAATCTATTTCGTATAACATGCGCTTCAGAATGCTTGAGAAATCGCACATTTAAATGCTCATAATCCTTCCAGGTAGTCGTTCGCAGATAAACATATATTTGAGATTAGCGTTTCAAGGCGAGCCCGATGACATAGATCTTGTTTGGTAGAGCGCAAAAACGGCGAAAAAGAGCTCTACGGCTCAAGACAGAGTTCACGCGATGTCATCGTTGCGATTTATTGTGACAAGACAACCGTTACGAGTTCATTGCATGCCGATCAGGCTGCATCTCGGTTGATATTTTTCCAGCACGAAATCGATGAATGGAAAATGAAGCTGAATGGTTTCACGGCGATGGAATCGCGTGAACTCTGTCTTAGGCCTAACGTAGGAGAGAAGCACCAGGTCATTCCTCACGGTGAACGGTCGATTCCTTCGATCCGTCCTGACCCGCCGCCTCAATCCGCGCAGTCGATCGACTTTTTCCCGGACGTCGCTGTATTTTTCTATACTGCCTGTGCTTACTGCAAGGATGGAGACCTCCAGCTATCTCCTAGCGTTGGTCGACCGTTTGAAGAAACGAAAATTGAAATTTGAGTCGCCGCATTCTTCACCGGATATTCCTCAAGCAGCGAATGAGTTGGCGATGGACGACTAGCTCCCATTATATGCTCTTTCGATTATGGCATATTTACTCGATTAACAATGGACATGGAAGCTATTTTATTTGTATCTACAAGTTAACCGACGAGATGAAGAGCTTGCGAGAACAATTGAGGAATAAAACGCTTCTTATTTCCAGACCTGTTTCTACGTCACATCCGCCGTCGTCGCAGATCTTGAATTCCACCTACGACGAAGCTGAGCGAAAACGATCCCTTGCCCTCTATATGGGTTCCAGAGCCCCTAGGCAACAGCAATCAAAGGATCACTCATGATTATACTGCGTTAGTCAGTTATTAGATTCCTTAACGATTAACTGTTACCCCGTAGCTGTTTATCGTATGGGTAGGCCAAGTGCTCGTTATGACAGATTATTAAAAGTCATTTTGCCGTCGTCATTTCTGTCGGTCTCACACTTAAGCGCTCAATTAAACTAAGAAAGTTCCTATATAAGCGCGGTACTTTTGTTAGAACTTCTGCCAGGACGGAGAGAGAATTAGGGTAGATCGAGTGTTAGAAGCCCCGGACTAGTGTTTCTGTTATGACCTCGATCAATTCTGGCACTCGATTGATTGATGTTGTTGATGTTTCTTTTTACAACTCGCGATAGCAATTTGCTGATTCCTCAAAAAAAAACTAGCTTTTCGTCGGATAGATAGTTCTATACGGTGCCTTTTGACAAATATCAGATCTCTCTCCAAAAATGCAGTACCCCTCACATTTATCCTCCAATCTTTGCGCGCATGGGTAATTTGCCCTATAGAGACTTCGCTCAAGGGCAACACCACCGATTCCTTTTCGGGCAGTTTACTTGATACTTTTGAGGGGCAAAGATGTGATAGACAGTATTA